TACTTAAAATATTATGTGAGGTATATAAATAATTTTCATTAATTATCATTTTCATTAAGTTATTTAACTAAAAAGCTTACTTCACCATCATAATTATAATTATAATAGGAATTTCCATTAAGTTTTTCTTGTGTTGGTGGAATGGCAACCTATCGTAAATCATTAGTAGTTGGGTTTATGAATAAGTTTTGGTATGATGTTACAAAATCTGCAAATATAGGAATGGTTAGTTTTGATATAGAAAATTGTATTGGAGAAATCAAACGCGATATCTCTAAAGGTAGTCAAACCATAGGTCGACCAGAGTAAATATTTAATTTCAATATTTAATAAAATTTAGTGCTGCAAATTCAAAATAAAATTGTTTAACTGATTAAATAAATATTATTGAATAGAAAGGGTAAAAAAATTGTTGGAAAACCAATTTCTCATAAAACTTCTATGTCGCAATCTACTGGGGAAGCAGTATATATTGATGACATACCAAAGATCCAGGGTGAATTATACGGTGCTTTAGTTACATCTGAGAAGGCCCATGCTAAAATATTAAAGTATTTACACTTTTTTTTTCCGACAAATTTATGATTTAACTTAATTGTAATTAATTTGTAATTAATTGTAATAATTTATTATTTTCTTAATTTCTTGTTAATAGTATTGATCCAACGCAAGCATTAAGTATACCTGGTGTAAAGGGATTTTTCTCAGCAAAGGATGTACCTGGAAAAAATTCTTGGGGAGTTATATTCCAAGATGATGAAGTTTTTGCCAGTAATGAAGTTTGTTACATAGGTAAACTAAATTTTAATTCATTACATTTTTTTTAAATACGGTACAATTATTATTCGAGGAATTCGAGATGTTGATTTTTTTTTTTTATACAGGACATGTCATTGGATTGATAGTTGCTGAAACAAAAAAAATTGCACAAGAAGCTAAACGTTTAGTGAAAATAGAGTATGAAGAATTACCACATATTTTAACCATTGATGAAGCAATTGAACAGAATAGCTTTTTCCCAATGACTCCTCCTCAAATTGTACGAGGAGATATAGAAAAAGGGTTCCAAGAAGCTGATCATATTTTTGAAGGTAAAATGTAATTAATTTTTGAGATTTACGATATATTTTTTTTTTGCAAGTCACACAAACTGTATTTTGTTTTTTATTTTATTATACAGGTGAAACAAGATTGGGTGGCCAAGGTGAATTTAGTTTATTAAATACCCTCCTGCATCATGAATAATTTTTAATGCAAAAAATTAAAATTTATTTTATCTTGTGATTAGAACATTTTTATATGGAAACAAATGTAGCACTTGTAATTCCAAAAAATGAAAATGATGAATTCGAAATTTTCTCATCTACTCAGAATCCCAGTGCAGTTCAAATAAAAGTTGCTGAATTACTCGGTATAGCAGCTAATAAAATTGTATGTCGAATAAAAAGGGTAGGAGGAGCTTTTTAGTTAAATAACTTAATGAAAATGATAATTAATGAAAATTATTTATATACCTCACATAATATTTTAAGTA